CTGCTGATGATACCACCTCCAAATATGACAGGCAGGAAAGAGGCAGTGTCCACTTATTCAGGAAAGTGGAGGAGGCCCTTCAATAATCTGAGCAACAGAGAAAACCAGCGACAAGCAATGTCACAGGTAGGCAAGAGAATACAGTAGCTTGAGATATGAGATATGACCTATGAGAAAGTACCACTTGGCTCCTGAAGAATACAGACTTAGGGACATATGCAAAGAAAGTGAGGCCTTTATTTGTCCAGTAATTACATATGGAGACCTCACCTCTCTAATAGTAGTAAATGTTTTTATTAACTGAAAATGTCCCACTAACTTTTTTTTTTTTTTCTGGTTTTTCAAGACAGGGTTTCTCTGTGGCTTTGGTTCCTGTCCTGGAACTAGCTCTGTAGACCAGGCTGGTCTCGAACTCCCAGAGATCTGCCTGCCTCTGCCTCCAGAGTGCTGGGATTAAAGGTGTGCGCCACCACCGCCCAGCTTTCCCACTAACTTCTTATGGTCTAAAAGACAACTAGTTTTCTATCAAAGCAGTGCTTAGATTTGAAGTGCGGTCAAGTGTAGCATCCCTATGTTCTGTATCACACCAAGTGTGCACTCTCAATGACTAGTTCATGACACGCAGTCTACTGAACCCGAGCATGTACCTTAAGGGAAATCCAACATAGTGAAATGCGGACCATGAGCATTCAAGAAAAAAAATGTGTCAGCCGAACTTTAAAATGTACCTTGTATTTATTTACCTCCGTACTATTCAAGCTTTACCCTGCCCTGTCCTCCTCTTCAGCCCTCGTACAGGTTAGCAATTTTTTTAATATATCAACTTTCAAGTAACCAAACCTGAAAATTAAATCTGAAGTATGAAAACCCAGAACTGTCATTTGTATTTCTGCTGGCATGTCAGGTTCTGAAAAGCCACCATTGTTTATTAAAGTTACTGGCCATACAGTATTTGCCTAGCGCAGTCACTTGACACCCTAGTTCAGGTTCTCAATAATCCCTAGGCACAAGCACCAACACCTAGCAGAGGAGATGTGGACAGGAGACGGAATCCAGTGTCTCACCCATCCTAAACATGGGCTTCATCGCTCAACTACACTCCAGTCCAATATCCAAATTTCACATAGGTTCAGAAAAGTGTCTAAAATCATCTTTCAGTAACAGGAGTCAAATCTAGGGCCATGCCGTTTCATCTGTCTCAGTATTTGTGCAATTTAAGGTATGTCATAAAAAACTATAGTCAAAAAAAAAGCATATGGAACATTTTTGGTTGTGTGCATTTGCTACCTGTAACAAAATCTTTTAGAGCATCTATCTACTTTCAAGAAACTGTGTTTTCCCCAGGAATATAGTATCTTTGTCAACAGAAAATGGTAGTCTACTTGGAGAACAGGGCATTCCTAAAATTTTTTAAAATTTATTTTTATTTTATGTGCATTGTTGTTTTGCCTATATGTACGTCTGTGTGAGGGTACTGGATCTCCTGGAACTATAGTTAAAAATAGTTGTAAGCTGCCATGTGGGTGCTGGAACTGAACCCAGGTCCAGGGCTCCTAACTTCTGAGTCATCTCTCCAGTCCCATAAAGAAAGTCTTTAATATAAGAAGCAACAAAAGGTGTTGGAAAAGACAGAAGTTTTAAACAACTCATGAATTTGAGGGCTTCTCACCAGCTCATCTTTAGACAAGACACAAGTTTCATCAGCTGTAAAGTCATGAGAAAAGCACCTCTTCTGCTGGTCAGAAGTTTAAGAGAGACAGTCTACAAAGATAGCTACCACTTTCCTTATGACACAGCACAAGCAGAGTGCCAGGGAGTGGAAGGAAACATCAGTAACTTCTGGGAGGAGGGGTCAAAGAATTGAATTGCTTTTTTTAAAGAATGAAAAACATAATTTCCAACTTCTGCACCTGAAAACTGATGTGTGCAGACAACTCTGAAATTACCCAGCAAGTTCTATCATTTCTAACAGCAGCCAAGGCAAACACAGAGGGTTCACACCAAATTACGCAATGGTAAACAGCATGGTTGAGTTAAAAACACTTGGAGTGTCGTCTTTTGTGCAAAACTGCCTGTTTGAAAGGAAAGCTACTATTCCAGGCAAAGGTGGTTAGCAAATAAACCAGACGTGGTAGCTTGGCTGCATCATGGGACTAGGAATCAGAGTTGAGTTTATGGTCAAGTCAATGCAACTATGTTAATTTCTTCATTTAACCGGGCAACTTTTAGAAAAATGTGTATTTCAAAATAACAGGCTTTTAAAAAGTGGATAAAAGTGTAAAGTGACAGATGTCCACAGACACTTAGGTGTACGACCTAGAAATCTGAAGATCCCCTCAACAGCAAAAACCGTAAGTACGAGGGCACTAACTCTGTAGGCTATACTAAAATCACTAACTGCGTGGAATATCTTGAGGTTGGTATTTTTTTAATTCCTAACAGAAGCGATTTGTTTGCTTTTCTCTAGCAAATTTCTTACAAAATACTGGCTTTATGGTACTTACAAGACCAGAAAATTTCTAGGTTATCATGCCTTCCTAATCTTGATCATGACATTTATTAATTTATTAAATCAGAACATATGAAGCATCTCTAGCCACATAAAAAGCATAATGTGAACTACAAAACATAATGATGTTTCTGAGCTTAGTGCTGGAAGCAGGCAGACATAAGGGTCCCATCTGTTTCCGTAATAATGCAGGCAGGCAGATTCTTTTAACCTATTAGCCAAAATTTAGGAAGAGTTAATAAAGTGAGGGATAACTCGGTAGGGCATTTTCATTTCATTATTTTCATTTCATTCCCCGGGTCAAATGATGGGCATCACTAGCATAACAAAAATAAATAAATATTTTTTTTTAAAAAAAAAGGTACATCTACCGTTACTGAGAATCACCTTAAGTGGTCGAGAACTTTACTAGCTGGGCTAAGCAAGATGGCTGAAGCTTTAGCACATTGGAGTCTGGAAAGAAAAGTTACTTACATATCAAAAGGCAAATTCTATAGAGTTAGTGACAGAAGTTTAAGGCAGCACTAATTGCAACGTGTATACCACACACACTTATACAGGCAACACTACATCAACAGCGTAGTTGATGGGTATTTGCTAAACCCTCTTTACACACACATACAGAATTTAAATGTAATTTTAAAATTCAAAGGAATTAAAATCTTTCCATATTTCAAAAAGAAGAAGAAAGCAAACAGCACTGCAGCAAAGTCATCTCTCTGACTGAAATGACCTCCAGTATCTACAAACCACTCCTGATTTCGCAATAGATGGATCTGCGACTCAATCCACGTACACACAAGAGTAGACGTGGAGAACGCTACAGCTTCTTCAGTAGACTTAGAACATCCCTCTGCCTGCCCCAGCCCTCTCGGTTCCCTTTTCCCACAAAGATAACTTATCATCGACCACAAGAAGGGAACAAAAATTAATTAGCAGTCAAAATCTGTCTTAATTATTAAGGTCTCTATCCGCGAAGTCCAAATTCTAGTAAACCTGATTTTAGGAAGGCAGAACTAACCCCTTCAGGGCACAGGGACATAAATACACGTATGTGAAACACCAAGCCAGAAAGTGGCGTAAAACAGCTCACATACCAATTTAACCAAAAAGGTTTGGCAAACGGCATCCCAAGTGAACATTTCCAGTCCCAAGCTACCCCACCAATCTAGAGACAACCAATACCCAAATTCGGACGAAGCAGCCAAGAGATAAGAAGCAAAATGTCTTACCTTGCACAAATCTCGACATTTTCGGGGTTTATTAAAAAGAACCTGGTTTATAATTTTTCAATTTCTCGGAGCTGCTTTTTATAAGGAAGGTCGCTCTTCCTTCCCAGCAACAACCGATGTGTTCTTTCTCCTCTGTTGTTTAGCTACTTAAGAAAGTATTCATATAAAACGACCAAAAATCAGTCTTTAAAAAATAAAAAAATCCCAGAAGACAGAAACTTGGTGGGACCGAGTCAGCTTGGGAACTCCAGGCTACTCTGCGATCCCGACACCAACGGGGGCCGGACTGGAGACTCCGGAAAAGGTAAAACCACACGAACTTAAATTTCATCAATGAAGAGGCGGACCTAGAGCGGCTTTCTCACCGCCCCGCTGGTCTCCACGCCCTCTAGGGCAGGACTGCCGCAGGCCCGGGGCCGGCCGCACCCCGCGGCCCCTCGCCAGCCGCCGTCCAGCCGCGAGCCTCGGGCGCCCGGCGCCGCTCGGGAGGCGGGGAGGACGGCGAAGGGGCAGCGCAACCTTTTCGGCAGCCCATAAATAGCCCGGCTCTCGGGGCGCTGCAAATTCCGCACTCCGGCAGGCAGCTGCCCCGCGGCCTCCGGGGCCCGGCTCGGGGTGACACCGAGGCCCAGCTCGCCCTCCCCCGCCCCCGCCACCCCCCACGGGACCCCCCGGGAGGCCCGGACCTTCCCGGCACGCCCTCGGCTCTCCCGCCCCTCACTCTTCCACGCCCCACGCTCGGCCTCCGGCCACGCCTTTCCGAGCAGGACCCCACACGGAGGTCGCCCCGAGCCCGGCCCGCCCCTCTAGGCGACACCCACCTTCCTCTCCCTTCCGCGGCTGGGAAGCTGAGGGCCTGGGATCGAGTCTCGCAGGATGCACGAGTGTGGTCGCCGCGGCCCCGTCTCCACTCCCGTCGCACGCGAACACCCGGAGCCCGTGCTCACCCGCCCGCCCGCCGCCTCCCGACTTAGGAGCCCCCACTTTCTCCACACAACTCCCCTCCCCCTCCAGTCGGATCAGCCACCCTCCTGCCCCCCCCCAATGCGGAAATGTCTCTGTCCCCCCCGCCAGAGCGATAGGTGCAGCCGCCAGTCTGGAGCCGAGGTTTGCTTGGGGCCTGGCCAATGAGACGCACGGAGGTGGCAGGAGGCGGGGCGTCTGGGGCACGAGGAAGGCGGGCGCAGAGGCGAACGCGGGAATCCCGCGCATGGGAGCTGCACGGGAGGAGGCGCGCGGCCAGGCAGGGGTCCTCGGCCATGGCAGCTTTCTGTCGTTGCCACGAGCGTGTGAGAGAAGCGCAGCGTGTGGTTGTGTTTGCACGTCGCCAACATTTGCCCGTGGAGGGAACCATGGCCGCTGGGTTCTCACCTAGCTCCCCATCATCTAGCCCTCCATCGACGTCTTCCTAAGGAACGGGTCCTTCTCAGTGGGACCTCACGGCCCTGCCCACCAGCTAGGGTTTGAAGAGAGCTAGGGCGGGCGTCCGGAAGCAAGCCACGGGATGTGTGTGGCCTACCAGCAGGAAGTGAAGCTTGGGGTGTCGAAGGAAGTGCCAAATGAAGGCTCCCCTCACCATAAAGAACCTTATTCGCCTTGCTCAGGATCCTATTCCTGGGCACATTTGTGCCGTGATGGGGCGTTTAGTTTTCTAGCCGAAGTGAAAATGACTTTTTATCCTTGAGAGATGTTCTCCTGGTAATAGATCTTGAAGTCCTCGAAAGAAAGGTGTTAAAAGCCGCAGCAAGGCCGGGGACTCCCCTAGGTGTGTCCAGTCACACCTGAGGCTAGTCTTGCCAGCCCCTCGTAGCTGTAAGACTGCCTGTCAGTGGGTGTATCTCACACTTGCCCTTCACACTTCACTCAGCCTGACCAACGATTGCCAGATCCCTTTCAAGTGTCTAAAACCAAGTGCTTCCAGAAAACTTTGATACATTGCGCAACGTTGTTCAGCCAAAGTAAATGAGAATTTCAAAACCATTCTCCAAACGAAAGGGTTTTCATTATCCAGGTCGTCAGGCTCACGTGGAAATGTTATTAACAGAAAAGGATAGTGACCATGTTGCTTATGTAGACTCCAAACACCTTAGTCCCCCCTCCCCCAAATATTTCAGTCGAGAAAAGAATTTTCTCCACATTTTAAAAAGTATCTAAGTAACCAATGTCTTTGGTTTAATAAACCAAATGTCTTTGGAGAGTGGAGATTTTGCTTAAACTTTTCATCCTCTCTGAACAGTAGGGAAATTGTTCCAGCACTAAATGAGCTGGTTTTTTTCAGTCGCATTAGCACTAAAATAGCAACGAGGACCTGGGGCTCCTAGTGAAAGTTAGCTTGCAAAAATAAATAAATAAATGCAACAAAGAATCTTTAATTTTTACCAGATTTATTATTTTTTAAAAAATGGCCAGTTATTTTTTACTTCAACAGAAGATTAAAGAGAAAAAAAATGGGCTTTAAACCCAGCAAAACATTTGGTAATTCCTAAGAATGGCATCTTATGAGTGACTAAATATTGAGATTGTAGACAAAGAGGCTGTATATTTACTACTTCTTAAAGGTCCCCAGAAAATAAACCGCTACCCATCCTGAGTGGTTACATTTATAAGCTAGTCAGGGGTTGGTTCCTCGCCAAGTCAAGTCTTGCTCGAGAAACCACATTTCAAACACATTTTCATATAGGAGCAAGAAACCACATTTCAAACACATTTTCATATAGTGCCTTTCAAATGGGATTTCTTTAGAAAGGGGCTTGAATTTAAATTGCAGAGATCTTCAGAGACTTTGTAGAGTCTCCCACTCTCTCAAAATGACATTTGACACATCATGGAATGAGGAAACCAAGCAAACCCGAGGCTCTTCTGGATCACACAATTGCTCTGTCCCTCTTTACATTCAGGCACCCCACACCACGACCTCTGTTTGATCTGGTTTTTTCTGCCTGCACCATGTATCTGTTTGGTGCCTGTGGAGGTCAGAAGAGGGCCTGGGATTCCCTGGAACTGGAATTATACAGGGTTATGAGTCACTGTGTGGGTGCTAGAAATCCAACCAGGCACTCTGCAGGAATAAGTGCACTTAAGTACTAAGTCATCGCTCTAGACCCTGACCCCTTCTTTCCATAGTAGATTACTGTACTATTTTGTAAGGGTGCATAATCCTGATATCTACATTGTCAGAAACCTGTTCCATGGTAGTTTTACAGAGTAAGCCTTTAAGAAACTTGGAAGGAGGGTGGATTTAAAAGATGAAGATGGGAGGCTGGGAAGTAATGCGTAGAAACAGACAAAGGGGACAAGTGAGACGGCAAAATAGTAGCCCATAAGCCAGTTTTTCTTTGGTGAGCTATACTCTCATCCAGAGATCTTATAAATTCTGCCTCTAAGTGTTTCAGTCCATCTTCCTACTTCCCCATAGAAAAACAAGCAAAGCTCATTTTTTGTTTAGCTGATCTCATATCTTGTGAGCAAACCCAGGGCCTTACACGTCCTGCCACTAGCGTAAGCCATAGTTCCCAGACAGACACCGTCTCAGAAATAATATCAGCAAATGGTGATAATGCCTGTGCCCTTATTTTTAAGTAGAGTTTTCGGGAGCTTTTTGGATTTAGTTTCTGTCAGTGTCCGCTACATGGCAAGAATTCTGTACCCGTATATCGAACGATTAATTTGGTGCTGTTACTTACTTTAATCCATAGTATTGTTTCCTGGCCTCTGCTGTCAAGAACCACTAGTTAATACTTAGAAGTAATGAGTCTTAAGTTGCTGTGGTTTTCACCTAGAATATGAATGTGGGACAAAGTATAAGAATAAGAGCAGCAAATATGACGTCATGGTGACTTAATAAGTTGTATTAACTACTCACCGTGAGGCTATCTGGTAAGGGATGGTTTACGTGATGGTTTTGGTTTTTTTTCTGGGGGGGTGTTTTTTTGTTTGCTTGTTTGTTTTTGTAATGATTATTAATAAATACATTCCCTGGCCCATGCCAGGCAAGTGCTCCACCATGGAGCTGTATCCTCAGTCCACAGGGTAATTTACAAATGGCTGAAGTATTAACTAAGTGTAAGACAGGCAGTGTGTATGGCCATTTTTTATTTATTTTTGTCATTCCTTCTTTATACTCTGTACAGAAAGAAAGGAAAGAAAGAAGTAAAAGATACAGAACAGTTTGAAGAAACATGTTATAAAGAAAACTTCTGTGTCATTCCTGGAGAGGTGAGCCAAGAGTCTAGGCAACAATTAATCCCTGGACTACTGCCCGCACTCGGTATTGGCTCGCTTCTAGCCATCTCAATCTTAGGCCACCCACAGAAGAGAATAAAAGGGATTACTGTTAGCAGTTGCTAGTTACTAACTAGATTTAACAATAAAATATATTTTGAATCAAAATATAATTAAACAGGGTTAACTGGAAGAATATACCAAATTATATTTATGAGATGAACTACTAATGAATGAGTGGTCTAAACAATAAATGCAGTTTCCAAATACTTGAGGAAGAGAAAGACCTCATTCTTTCTGGTTGCCAAACACTGTTTTTAATGAATCGGGAAGTTTGCTGAAACAAGTTGAGAATTTAAATTGTGACATAGGCTTTCATTTTTTCACAGTTGCTTTTTAAATTGTATTTAATACGTAGCTTTTATAGCATAACCAACATTTATTTCAACTAACTGAGGTGTTAAAAAGTTCTCTTGTTACGGATAGTTATCTAAAGAGTTGATACGTCAGTCTTACCGTTGGTTTTCAGTTATTAGGCTCATCAGAATTTAACCTCAGCTGTGTTGCTTGTTGACATTTATCAACAGTTTTCTTCTAGCTCTCTTTGGAGAGTTGAAGAGGGGCAGGCTCTTGCCGTGACAACATCTGATACTTCTCCCATTCTCTATGTTCCCCAGAGGGACATGTTGCTAAAAATTGTGATGCCCATGAAATTGTATCTCTGTCATGTGTATCTCTAGTCCCTTCTGATTTTAGAGGCAGAGGACTCGTTCCCTTTAGTGCACAGGCCAGGGATAAACATAAAGAAATACCATATGCATTTTCAGGGTTTTTAATTAAACAGAATTTGTTATGTGAGCATAGTTTAGATTTTGTTTATTTGTTTGTTTTCGAGACACGGTTTCTCTGTAGCTTTTAAGCCTCTCCTGGAACTAGCTCATGTAGATCAGGCTGGCCCTGAATTTACAGAGATCTGCCTGCCTGTGCCTCCAGAGTGCTGGGATTAAAGGCGTGTGCCACCACTACCTGGCTCAGTTTAGAAATATTTTTTAAAGCTCACTAAGAAATAGCACATCTCTTACTCATAAAAAAAAAAAAAACAGTACTCTGGTTTACCAAACTGATGTGAATATATTATTTGTACTGACTTTGAAATCCACAGAAGAAATGCTGTGAAATAGACAAGCATGCAGGTTAGTTCTGGTTTTCTTTCTTTCAACCACATTAAAGATTCACTGTTGTGCACCCCATCAAACAACTTGTGTGACCTGATGATTTTCCAAACATTTCCACCTCTTGTCTAACTCACTAAGTGTGCCATGAGTACACCAGGGGAAGTATAAAATAAAGAACATTTGTTTCCTGGCTGAGAGAGTTTAAGAATTTTATACCCATCTCACTAACTAGATATTTAAAAGATCATCTTTGGATGAGGCTTAAATAATTGGGCAATTATGTCATTAAATGAGTTATATTATCAGGAAATAAAAAGTAACTTTTCACTCCCTAGAATGAAAAGGAAGTGAGTTGTCAAATCTAGAGAAAGACCACAGGAAAAAAATATTAAGTTCTGCTGCTGTTTTACATTAAATTTTATTTCAATATAAGTATAAACATCTTTTAAAAAACAAATCCAAACATAGTAGTACCCTGAATGCCCAAAAGAGCTGTACCCTGATGCCTGTCTTTCTCTATTCCAGCCTCTAACCATTGAAGAGACCAATTTTTCCTTGTGCTCATATTCTCTTTACCTCTAAATGCTTATATTATGTTATTACTTTCATAAATTGTGTTTCTGAATTCTTGATTTTAGACATTATGTTTAGAGTTTCTAACATAGAAAAGAACTTAGCTCATACCCCAACTCATCTTTTTTCCATTTTTAAAAGATAAATTCTCTAAATTTAGAGTTATGCTCCCCAACCTTTACCTCATTATAACACAAAGACAAAATGGTGCTTATATTTTACTCTGGGATAACCCAGAGGAAATTTGAACATGTATTTTAAGCTAGGTAAAGAATTGTTTGCCTTTTAAATATATAAAATTATTAAAATAACAATGAATGAAAAGGAATAGAGGAAATGTTAAATATTTAATCCATATAATAACAGATAAGTCTTTTAAAATATTTAAGTGATA